TCCTTAAGACCACCAGAATGAGATACACACACACATTGCTCTGTAACTCTGGAGTGACCTGAACAAAGGGAATCAAAGAAAATAGATATATTCTCATCCAGAAGGACTTCAGATAATTCTAATATTCCAGCAGATTTCAAACCATATCCTTAACACCACTGGGCACACCAACCCCAGCACTTTCTCAAAAACATGCAGTGCTTCATGCTATCACTGCAGACATGAGGAGAGCAATTACCCTGACATGGAGCCTTATCCTCACCTTGCTTGCCCTCACCTTTATCTCCAGAAAATGACATTAATTAATATCATCATCATTTCCTTTCAAGCATTCAACATTGCCAAGTGATTACAGGACATTAGTAAAGAACCTACGAATGTTCAAACAAGCCATGCAGGGACAGGGCACACACTTTTATTTGAGAACAAAGCTAGAAAATGATCTTAGATTATTACAGAGGATCTTACAATAGAAGGCTGTATCTGATACAATATACAGCTTGTGAGCAAATACATAAGTATCAGCTCCAGGCCTGTAGCTGCATTATTTTTATAAATAAAAGATTCCATTTTTAATGCTCTTTTCTTATAATACCTTTTTGTGAGGATAGGCATTGACTTTACATTCAAATAGGGACATAGACACATACAGAAAGGACATCAATGGAACGGGATTTATGGATTTAAAACCTCGAAAATTCAGATTATTTGAACCCTGTCATGTATCTTGAAAGGGGATCAGTTCTTACTTCATAGCACTGTGGAATGTTAGGGTGCAGACAGACTTCTGACAGATGGATCTCCCTTTATTCCAATGCAGGAAGATGTATTACAGCCAAAGTCCAAACCAGAATTCATAAATATATCACAGGCTCCAACTCTCTCTTGCCTCTCTTCAAAACCCAAAACCTATATAAACATCGAAACTGATCTTCTGGAAAATTAAGACTTCATCTCAACATTATCTATTTAAAAATAACCAATAAAAATGTGCTACCTTTCCAGAACTCCTAAAGACACAGACCAAAGTGTGTCCTCTCCTCACCAAAAATAATCCTACAAAACCACAGTGTTTAAACCTGTCTTTATTCTTCTTCCTTAAATGGTGTAGATCCACTAAGCTAAAAATCTGGGACTGAACAGGTCCTGTGTGCATATTAGAACACACTATTGCTTATATATTTCATACCTCAGATTTCCTTACACATCCACATGTAAATCACCACTACTTTGTTTCAGAAAAACACAACATGGAACTGGAATGAGTCAAACTGCCTCTACAAGGGCTGGTTTTAAAGGGAACAGCTGAACCCCAAGATTGTTTTTTCTGATTTATTTCACCCATTTCTGTTGATTACAGATGTTCACTCACAGCTGGAATTGATCAACTTCACATTACAGCTGATTAGAAATGGAAATAAAGTTGTTTAACAAAGAGGGAACAAAAATTGTGCTCTGAAGCTTTGGTAAATGGTAGTCAGAGTTTACCTTTCTCTGCTGATGCCTCAAAATTCACTAGTTCTTGTACTCATCACAGAGTGTAGAAAGGAAAATTACAAGTCCTCTGGATTGCAAAGACTTCAGGAGCCTAGCAGTAATTAGCTGTGCATCCACCTTTTAATAAAATTCCATATTCCACAGGTTCAGCTGAGAGATGATCGTGAAGGAACAAAACAGGCTAGAACACAGCCCAGGCAAGTCAGAGATTTGTAAGTTAAATGTTTCAAACATTCCTCCCTAACTACTGAGCAATAACTGGGGTGGTAAATGAATAGAGAGATGTATTTTCAAGTGTTATTAATCTCAATATTTTTAGCAGAAATTTTCCATTTTAACTGCTCTTAACAGATCAAGTACTTCTGCAAAATTTCAAGCTTTGTGGACAGGATAGCACAGACCCACAATCTCTATGTCCTGCTTTATTAATAACCAATATTATCATCCAAAAGATTGCATTTTTTTCCATTTTTTTTCCACCCAGTCTTCAAAGCAATACTTCAGTTGCACAGTCAAGCATTCAAACCAGGAGATGTTTGAATGGCCATGGTCCACAGCAGCTTTCCTCACCCCCCTGAGCACAGACCTTCTGACTGTCTCCAATTACAGCAGAACATGTGCTCCCACCACAGTCCTGAGGCACAGGATGAGTAAACAGAGTGTGAAACTAATGAAGCAACTTGTGAGAATTCATTTGTAACAGATTTTAGGAAGATGTTAATGTAGCAGGAGAAGCACTGAAAGAAAAAGAACCATACACTTTCATCTCATGGAATTGAACGCTGGGGTTTGAAATTTTGATGGATATTTTTTCCCCCAGTAACACTTTGGTTGGCTTAAGCACACACCTTTCACAGGTGTTTGCTAACTGCAGTGTTCCTCATTTTCTAGGTGACTGATCTGAGAAACAGAGGCAAAAACACAAACATGCAAAAAGGCTAAGTGCTCAGCCACTATTGGTGTTGGCAAGAAGATTCTGAACTATTTAAATACTCAAAAAGCAAAATTATTTGCAACAATTCACATCAGACATCTCACACTGGTTAAAGCAAACCAGTATTTTTGACTTAACCTGGGCTTTAACTCCTCAGCTGTAAATGAGGTATAAAAATACCTCTACAGTAAGCTGTGAATATTCCACTGTCACAGCCCACAACATCACAGAAACCTCCACACCTCTCTTGGTGCAGAGAACAGTTTCAAAAATTGGCACTGAAGAAAGCACACAACTACATAGCCAACAGTTTTTGACTGTACCTCATTTAATAAACCAAATCAGGCCCATACAAAAGGTATGAAACAGAAGATACTCAGAAAAATACAGGCTCATGGAATGAGACTCCATCAGTATGTACACACATATGAAACTGGATTAAACACCTAACAGGCAATCCTAAGCCTGGTATATCCCAGCCTGAAATCCTGGTTGAAACAACACTTAGAGTTAAATATGTGTAGATACATATATATTTCTATAATAATTTATTGCAATCATATTATTTTGTTATAAATAAAATTAAAGCAATACAAGAAAATTAGCCACCAAACCAATTGTCCTAACAACAGTCACTGCCTACTCGACTGCCAAAGATCCTTTCTCTCCTGAGTTGGACAAATCATTCTCATACAATCCCTGGAGTTGTACTTTGCATGTCACTTATGTATCACACACTTCCATTAACCAAACACTTCACAGATACTCACAGCCCTTCCCTTGCTTTGGCATGGTGTTTGCAAACCATGTCCTAAAGGCTGCACTTTGCAACAGGAGTATTCAGAACTCCAGTATTCACTTATCTTTGTACTATCACTCAGAACAACAAAACTGCCTTTTTTTACATCAAGATCCAGGGGACTTTGATTTAAAGCATAATTCATGATTTTCAACAAGGAGTATTTTGAGTCAAATCTAATCAAAGGTGAGTAACTATCACCATTAATTTGAAGTAAACAGGTAAAATACTTTGTTTTGTAAACATGAACTGGTTTGTAGATGCAGAAATAAATTTTTCAAATCTGGATTTCTCTGAAGTGATTATAAAGTCAAATAAGCTTTCTCCTTTGCAGTGTGTGATCTTTTTGGTTTGTTTCTTTTTGAATGTGATCTTTTTGGTTCGTACCCATCTCCTGATGGAGATTAGTGTACATTCTTCTATTTTCCTTCTATTTTCAGGTACTTGCAGTTTGGTGCTTGTTCTGGTTCCCAGTGGCTTAGCTGCACAACAATGAGAAGCCAACTGGACTCAAACTGCCCTAAATGAAGAGACTATCCATGCTGCCACATCCCTTGCAAGGTCTCAAGTGAGGAAAGAAGCAACAAATGAATCCTCCCTCAGTATTACTTTACTTCAAAGAAATTCCCCATATAATTAGAAGAGCTTTATCCTGAGTGCATGTGTTCTGTACTCTCTATTTTAACAACTTCATCCATATAAATACTGGTGAACCCTTCTAATCTGTTTCCTGCACCACACAATATCCTTCTCCACTAGATGGCTCTGACACTGCCTGTGTGTATCTTCAACCAACACAAGTTAAATACATTTAGCTGACAACATCCAGACTTTGGAATGAGACTAAAGAGCTCATTTTCAAGACTGGAAATTAAAGAGTCTGTGATAAAAGGTACTGAGAAACACAGTAATTTAGAATTACAGCTCTTCTGGTAGTCATTTTTTCACCCACCACTAAAATTGCTTTTTTGGGTTTAGATTTGTGGGGTTTGGGGAATTCCTCACTTCCCCCTATCAGTCTGCAAAACTACTGGAAAGTCCAAGTGCAAATTCCATGTTCTGAGCTGCAGCTACTTTATGAGCAGGTATCCTAATCTTTTTCCTTTGCATTCTGTCTTGTCACTCTATCCCACACTCACTGAAATGTTTCTTACTGCAAAGTTTGCAGGCAACTGATTGTATTTTACTGCACCTGCAGTACCTACACTTGGTGTAAATTGAATCATCTGCACACACAGACTTTTAAATAACATACATCCTTTAAACAAGGAAACTTTGCAAAAGGATATGTTTTCCTTTCAAGGAATTAATCAATGCAAAACTGGTCACGAATTAAAGCAAATTATTTCTATTTAACACTAGTGTTTCAGTGATCCTAAATAGAACTTGGAGATAATACATGACATGAGAAGCTAAATTGAATCATCTGCACACACAGACTTTTAAATAACATACATCCTTTAAACAAGGAAACTTTGCAAAAGGATATGTTTTCCTTTCAAGGAATTAATCAATGCAAAACTGGTCACGAATTAAAGCAAATTATTTCTATTTAACACTAGTGTTTCAGTGATCCTAAATAGAACTTGGAGATAATACATGACATGAGAAGCTCTTTTCCCAATGGTTTTCTTTTCCCTTTCCCCTTTAATATTTAGCACCTCTTCACTATTTTGAATTTGTTTAAAGTAAGAGTAAACATGTTTCCAGTTATCTGTTCTTTTAATGTTTCTTCTTTGGTCATCCATGTTTTATCTTCATCCGTTATATTCAAAATGTTAGGGAAGATCTTTCAGCACCAATTCTAAAATCAGACTGAATATTTAGCATTGAACAAACCTAAAAAAAAAAAACACAACAGTGTTTCAAGGCTTCTATTTTCCAAGCAGAATGTTCAACAGAATTCCCAATTGCTCCATTTCTCTTCTTCTGGTCCCACTTGTAATTCATTGGCAAAAAATATTTTCGACTTGTCTTTTAAAGAATATTTCTCCTTTTATTTTGCATTTGCTATTGGTTGAGGAATTTTCAACTATAAGTATTTTCACTTCAAGCCTTTTGCTCTGACTGCAGAGGGGAACAACAGTTGCTCCACACAATTACTGTCGTTTTGGTGCATTAAGTATTTTCAGAAATTAATTCCATTTTTGTGCTAAAATAACAACTTATTCTTACAAACCTGTTTAAATTTTCCTCTAATTTTTTCCAGATCTTCTTGCAGCTTATCATAAGTGGGGTCTTCATATGGGAATTTCTGAACCATCCCTATTAATGAATCCAGAGCCCTGATCTTTTTGCTACAAAAGAAAATAGAAACCCAAATCAAAACAGGAAAAACAATGATCCTACTACAGAATTAATTTTAATCCACCAATATGAAAATGATACTAATATATAATAACCCAGAACATAGATCCCAACCCTCTAGCCTCTTTTGATTCAACTTTCCCCATTTAGCTCAATGACAACGTGTGTTTAATACATATTTAAGCCACAATCAGAAATTAAGCTGTAGCACAGCTGACAAAGTTAAGGTTTCTCCTTTAACTTGCCTGCCAAAAGTTGAGAAATACTCAATTTTCAGAAATAATGATTAGATGACTGAGCAAAATAAAGAAATGCAATAAAAAAAGTCACCAGAACACAAAATGGCTCACGGTGTGGTGGCAATTCTGTCAGGCAGATACACCAAAACTGGACAGAAAAAAAAGCTATGAAGAAAAAAATGAAAATCATAAGAAAAAAAATTGACTTTTAACCTTTTTACCCTTACCTGTTCTTTTCATCTGTGCAGTTCTGGAGCAGACGGTGCCATGTCAGTGCAAACCCAAGGTAGCAGCCAATCTAGGAATGTAAGGGAAAAAACATAATCAAACAAAAATAAAGCACTACACTGTATCTCATTCCTCAGGAAACAAAACTCTGGATACACAAACATGTTTCCAAACTGGAAAGTTCAGCTAGGATAGGATAAATGAGGGCTGTGTTACACAGCACAAGGGTTAGAAATCCCTTGCGAGAGGACAAAATATTTAAAATGCAGCATAAAAAGCAATTCTGGCAAACACTAGCACTGCTTTATACTCTTTGAAGGCCCAAATTTATAAAGTGTGGCAGCAGGGAGAAGTTAGAGAAGTAGCTATTTAAGATGTTTTGGTAAGTGGTTGTTTTTGCAGCACCTGTCAGTTAAAGCAGCCACAGAGAGTCCTACAGAAAGGTGTCCCAGAGGTACTGAGAAAGACAGTAAGTCAAAGAGGAAACCACTTTTTTCTGAGTTAATAAAGTATTTTACCAGCCTAACCCCAGAGGGTAGTGGGAAAACAGAAAGAAGCACAAGGAGTGAGTAAGCCTTGCAGCCAGAACTTTTCATTCCAACTCTAGACACCAAGTGAAACAGGAATGTAGGTAAGTTCCTCAGTGCACCAACTGGGTAGGTCACTGCAGTCCCTTTCCAAAGTGACTCAGCATTCACACAGAAACAGCACAGACATCTGAAACAAAAAGTTAGCTGCCTTGGAGAAATTAAGTCCAAGAACTTATGCCTCTTTAATTATAATGTTTTACTTGAATTCATTATCAAGCAACACCAGTATCAGATCAGTATCATAATTCTGCCCAAGACACAACACAGGCTGACAGGGCTAACATCACCCTTGTGACTCACTGTCTATAATCCCACTGCCCTCTGGAGCTTCCCTGACATCAGCTGGTTAGAGCAATTCTCTGTTGTGGTCTGTCTAGGATGATTTTGTATCAAACTATCCAGCTTTGGGGACTGCTGTTAAGCACTTTCATCTTGGAACTACATTTTGTACTGCAAATGGGAAAACATTTAACCACTGTACATCTTTGTATCATCAGAGAATCTTGGAATGGTTTGGGTTCAAATGGACCTTA